TACAGATCTCTTTAGTCTTCATACTGTCCATTCCAACAATACTCGCAAGGTTTATCTCTCTTTGTCTTATGATTTTTCTGTATCACATGATTCAGATCGACCTGTTCCGATTTATTTACTTTTTATAATATTTGTTAGTTTTATTATATTTTTATACATATGCAATTCGGTTCATTTTTTTCCCTAATTTATTCGGGTTTGAAGACACATCCCTCATGAATTTAACAGGTGCCTATTTCCCCATTTCCTAACATGTTCTTCTTAACATGCGTCATCACCAATCCATGGCAGCAACTTAGCCATATATAATAGATGGGACCCAACAGTTTAACAACCCCTCAAGGTGAACACGGTACAATCTTTTCTTTTATATATATATATATATATATATATATATATATATATATATATATATATATATATATATATATATTCATCGGTGTAGCATAAATTTGCTACTAGTATGCAGTACATAATTGAAGACATCTTCAAAACATAGAAGTCATTGTTTTCATAAATTTAAGAATAACTAACAATCTATTTTTTTTCATAGATATGTTGGTATTCCAATGCTTGTGCTGATGTCAAAGACCAATGAATTGTATTCTTGAGGTGGGGGCCTAATTGAAGAAGGGAAAATAAGAAATTTAGTTGAAGGAAAGAAGGCAAAGAAGGCAATCATATTCTGGTTGAAACAGAGGAGGTAGGGTGTGTATGTTTACTAGGGAATATGGATAATAAAACAAAAACAGAATACTTTGGTTGGCTTTATATGTTTTTTTATTGAACTATTTTTGATTACTAAGTAGGGTGTGTATGTTTACTAAGTAGTTTGTTGTTTTTTTTTTGTCACTGAAAGTGGGCTATTAATTATTTTAAAATTTATCACTAACCGCAATGTGTATGCTCCTATTTTTTTGTTTAAATAATTGTACATTGGATTCTTTGTAATTGTAGTTGTGGGCGGCTAAATGCTTTACTCTTTATCATTCTTTACTGAATAGTTTATTGTCAAATTGTGTGCTTTTGTTTCTATTAATTTTTAAGTGTACTTCACTGATTTAGCATCTATGTTCTTTAAGAATTAAGACCAAGATATTATATTATACCTGCTAAAATATATGTGAAAACACAGATATACCTTATCATTACTTGGTATTCCATCTACCTTATGTATTATATATGGACTTAATTATGAATCATATAACTTTTTATTTGTTTAACACATTTACAGGATTACAATATGGATCGTTCAAGTTCTGCCTCCGCCAGTGGCAGTGATAGTGCCACTGCTGCTAGTGTCTCTACTGCCAATGAATTACTAGATAAACCCTTATGGAAATATGTTACCCAATTGGATGCTAGAGTGGAAGCAGGAGGGAATTTGTCTTGGAAATGCAACTTTTGTAAAAAAGATTATAAAAGTTCATATACTAGAGTGAGGGCTCATTTGTTAAAAATATCAGGCAAAGGAATTGGGAAATGCTTAATGGTGCAAAATAGAGACATGATAGAGATGGAGAGATTGGAACATGAAGCTGAACAGAGAAAGCAATCTAATGCACCTAGAAATGTACCGTTACCCCCTTCTACCTCTTCCACTGGCCCAAAAAAAAGAAAAACTACGGGTTCTCTGGAGATGGCATTCAATGTTGGGGAACAAGAAGAATTAAATTATCTTATTGCTAGAATGTTTTATTCAGCAGGATTGCCATTCAATTTGGCAAAGAACCCTTACTTCCAAGCTTCGTATACTTATGCAGCAAATCATAATATTGGAGGTTATTTGCCACCAGGATATAACGCGTTGCGAACCACTCTGTTGCAAAAGGAGAAAGAAAATATTCATAGGTTGTGTGAACCTATTCGAGAAGCATGGACTCATAAGGGAGTAAGTATTGTAAGTGATGGGTGGAGTGATTCACAAAGGAGGCCACTCATTAATTTCATGGCAGTATCTGATGGTAAAGCAATGTTTTTAAAATCAGTTGATTGCTCGGGGGAGATCAAGGATAAAAATTTCATTTTCAGGTTGTTCGTTTGCTCTTTTATAATCTGTTTGAGTGTGTTTGTTTGTTTGCTCGAGAAAGACTAATGATGAAAATTTTATTTTCAGGTTGTTGAAGGAAGTTATTCAAGAAGTAGGAGAGGCGAATGTGGTTCAAGTAATCACAGATAATGCTGCAAATTGTAAGGGAGCAGGGCAACTAATTGAGCAGGAATTCCCATCTATTACCTGGACACCGTGTGTTGTTCACACATTAAATTTGGCAGTGAAAAATATTTGTGCTGCAAAGAATGTGGAGAACAATCAAATAACGTATGAGGAATGCAGTTGGATTTCTGATATTATAGGTGATGTTGCTGCAATAAAGCATTTCATTATGAATCATTCTATGAGATTGGCCATCTATAATGAGTTTGTGAGTTTGAAGTTGCTTTCTATTGCTGATACTCGTTTTGCTTCAATGATTGTGATGCTGAAGAGGTTCAAGTTAATAAAGAGCGGTCTCCAAAACATGGTGATAAGTGAGAAATGGAATATTTATAGAGATGATAATCTTGGGAGGGCCAGACTTGTGAAGGAAAAATTGTTGGATGATTGTTTTTGGGAATCAGTTGATTACATACTTGCCTTCACTGCTCCTATTTATGATATGATCAGAGCTTGTGACACTGATAGAGCTTGTCTTCACTTGATATATGATACGTGGGATTCAGTGATTGTGAAAGTGAAGAAAGCTGTATACCATAAAGAGGGGAAGAGGATGGAAGAGAGCTCCTCTTTTTATGATGTGGTGCATCGCATTCTTGTGGATCGTTGGACAAAAAATTCAACTCCACTACACTGTTTGGCACATGCTTTGAATCCCAAGTAAGTTTTTAAATATGATTCAGTTTAAAATTAATACTCCTCATCACAGATAATTTGACAATTTTTTGATTTTTTTTTTTTTTTGGTTTCTCTTTTAGATACTATAGTCAACAATGGCTTCAGGAAGATTCTAGTCGAGTTCCTCCACACATGGATTTAGAGCTTACTCAAGAGCGACAAAAATGTTTAAGGAGATTCTTTCCTAGCATGGAGGACCGAAGCCGGATTAGTTTGGAGTATGCAGATTTTACTAGCAATAGTGGAACCTTTGGCGATTTTGATGCCATCAATACTCAATACACTATGGATCCGAAATCTTGGTGGCTACTTTATGGTACTTTTACACCGATGCTTCAAAAAATAGCATTGAGACTTGTGCAACAACCTTCGTCTTCATCATGTGCTGAACGCAATTGGAGTACTTATTCTTTTGTGCATTCCATCAAGAGGAATAAAATCACTCCAAAACGTGCTGAAGACTTGGTTTATGTGCATAGCAATCTTCGACTCTTATCAAGAAAGACTCCTAGTTATGCACAAGGACAAAATCAGATGTGGGATATTGCTGGAGATACATTCGATTCACTTGATGATGTTGGAGATCTTCAATTTGCTAGTCTTTCACTTGATGAGCCAGAGATAGAGGCCATGATTATTCAAGATGGAGATGAAAATAATTAAACTTGTGAGTGGTCTACACTCTACACATTACACTCTTGGGATGTTCTATTATTTTTGTTTCATATTTATGTTATAGAATTTGAATATTTGATTATTTATATGACTTATTATGAGTTGATATATGTATTAAATATAAACTATACTATATATATTAAAAATATTATTTAATATCAAAACGTGTCCCAACGTGTCGAAATTTAGCATTTTTTAGAATTAACGTGTCGGAGTGTCGTGTCGTGTCGTGTCCCGTGTCCCGTGTCGGTGTCGGTGCATCATTGACTTTACAACAATTATCGCAAGAAGCCAATTTATTTGAATAAGAAACAAATGGAAGCAAGCCTAAATAATTCCTGGAGGGATGCCCCAATCTTCGATGCCACACGTCAGAAGAAGACTCTCCATGAACTTTATTTGCAGAAATAATTTGTTGAAGCACATACACCCCTTCATGTTCAACACCCTTGCCAATCGTCTTCCTCGTCTGTAGGTCCTGTAATATACAAGTAGAATCAGTGAATAAAGCAATGCATTGGTTGCAGCGGATGAGTTGAGATATAGAGAGTAAATTGCATGTGAGAGATGGCACATATAAAACATTTGTAAGTAACAATGTAGAAGATAATCGCACGTCCCCACACTGGGTTGCTAGTGTACGAGTTCCATTTGGTAATCCGACGGAACAAGGGGAAATAACGTGAATATTATGAAAGAAGGAGATGGTGCCACTCATATGTTGTGAAGCGCCGTTGTCCAGAAGCCAGGGCTGTGTAGAAGGTACTATACCAGATAATTTTTCAGTTGTTTTGGAAGAAACAGCAAGAGACATCAGATGTTGAATCATGTCAGGAGTATAAAAAGGTGATTTGGGATCAGAAATTTTGAGGGTTTGGTTGTGAGAGGTCATGATGATGAAAAAAAAAAAATTCCACAAAGATCGTTAGGCTCTTGATACCATAAAGGAAGTTGCAATTGAATGAATAACTTGTTTCATTAATTTTGTACAAGTCTTTTAAATAGACCAAAGTTACGTACAAGAGAGGGCTAACAAACCTAAAAATAATGGATGTTACACTAGTAAACCCTAAAATAAAGGAAAACAAATAATACAAGTTTACATCGGAAAATAATAACAAACTAAAACAAACTAAGTTGTTTATTGTCATCCTAATAATTCCAATCGGTTCATTACTTTGCAACTAATCTGATTCGGGGTGGGTCCAGGATTAAAGCTTTAAACTCCTCGTAACTTTACTTTATTACTTTATTTATCCCGCACATAGCTAAGCCTGTCTTTAGGCCTAATAGAAAGCCCTTACCCGTACCAATACCAACAATATATTCAAATCACTGTCTCACTTCAAATAAAGGGGCCGCAATAACAGTAGATACTAATACCCACAACTGTTCACAAGTGGACAATGTGAATCAAAATTTGAAGTTGAACATGCAAGTGATGAAATTGTGTGGAATCATGCAGAGTTTTAACCTTTGCACTTGGACGTATAGAAACAACTCATATCATTTTTCTTGTTCAATAAGGAACCACATTCAGCAAGGATCATTGAGTTGGGCTCTTGTTGTGTATAAACAAACTCGGCAAGAAGGAATATACGATCCCGGTGTGGTCCCTCTGTTACTCAAGGCTTGCGATTCTCTTTCCTTCCTTCACTACGTGAAAGCCTTGCACGCAGAATCCATCAAGGTCGGTTCAGACAGTGACGTTTTCATTGGAACCGCATTGGTTGGCACTTATGCCAAATGCGGTGTCGTTTGGTATTCCCGCAAGCTGTTCGATACAATGCCTGAGAGAAATGCTGTGACGTGGAATGCCATGATCATGGGGTATTTGAGACATGGTGACACAGAATCTGCTTCACGTGTGTTTGAGGAGATGCCGGGGAAAACACGGGTAACTTGGAGTCAGATGATTGATGGGTTTGCCAGGAGTGGAGATATTATCGCTGCTAGGAGGTTGTTTGATAAGGTCCCCCATGAGTTGAAGGATGTGGTAACATGGACTGTGATGGTTGATGGGTATGCTAGAAAAGGGGAAATGGAAGCTGCTAGGGAGATCTTTGAGCTGATGCCTATAAGGAATTGCTTTGTGTGGTCATCTATGGTTTGTGGGTACTGCAAGAAGGGCAATGTCACACAGGCTGAGGCTATTTTCAACCGGATTCCAGTCCGGAATTTGGAGATTTGGAATTCAATGATTGCTGGCTATGTCAGGAATGGATATGGTGAGAAAGCACTGCAAGCTTTTGAGGAAATGGAAGCTGAAGGGTTTGAGCCAGATGAGTTCACTGTTGTTAGTGTTTTATCTGCTTGTGCTCAGCTGGGGGTCTTGGATGTTGGTAAGCAAATCCATCACATGATAGAACATAAAGGGATAACTGTGAACCCGTTTGTTTTGAGTGGACTGGTTGACATGTATGCAAAATGTGGGGACTTGGTCAATGCAAGGTTGATATTTGAAGGGTTCACTGAGAGGAACATCTTCTGCTGGAATAGCATGATTTCAGGTTTTGCCATCAACGGAAAATTCAGGGAGGTTCTTGAGTTTTTTGGCAGGATGGAGGATTCAGATATAAGACCTGATGCTATCACCTTTCTTACTGTACTCTCGGCTTGTGCTCATGGGGGTTTGATCAGTGAAGCTTTTGAAGTATTATCTAAAATGGAAGCATATGGAATTGAAATAGGCATCAAGCATTACGGTTGCATGGTTGACCTCCTGGGTAGAGCAGGGAGATTAAAGGAGGCTTTTGACTTAATAAAAAGAATGCCAATGACACCTAATGACACAGTTTTGGGAGCAATGCTTGGTGCATGCCGGATGCATTCAGATATGAAAATGGCAGAACAAGTAATGAAGTTGGTCGATACAGACTCTGTTATAGGTGCTAATTCTCACAATGTGCTCCTGTCAAATATCTATGCAGCTTCTGAAAAATGGGAGAAAGCTGAAAACATAAGGAGGATCATGGTAGATGGAGGGTCTGAAAAGACACCCGGGTGTAGTTCAATCATCTCTAGTGACTCTGTCGGAGATTTAAATGTGAGTAGAGAAACATAGCATCAAAAGGAATGGGCCAAGTGCAATTTACAAGGGAGAAATACCAAAATAAACACTGCTCTATACACGAAATATTCTACATAGGAAAAAGGTGAAAAGGCTTTATTAATCTTTGTCATAATGGTAATAACTCTGAGCCCCACTCCAAGACCAATCCGTGGTTGCTGCCTCCATTAGGGCTAATATTCCAATAGTTCTTAATTACTGAAGCTTTTAGATTTGTGGTGACTGATCAAGATGTTGCCTGAGTTGAGGGAAAGAGACACTGCGTGTTACGTCCCATCTAAACGTTAGACCCAAGAGGGTTAGTAAGCGGCCCACTTATCTGGACCAGTACCATTGTTAGGTGACTGAGCCCATCTAATCGTATTTTGACATTGTTGGTCTATGAAAGCTAATACATAAGCTCCACACGGAATAGTTACTGGAATTCAGTTAGGAAATTGTTAGAATGTATTAAAAACACAGATGGGAAAGGAAAATGGCATGAAAAGTTTGACAATCTCTTCCCTCTTCTGATCTCATCTCTCCTTTTTTCTCTCTCTTCTCTAAATCCTTACAATTTCAAGAATATTCGTAACAATTTGGTGCTTTCATTTCACTCACTTCCCTCCCGAAAATTCATGGCAAAAAACACCCGATTAAAAAATGTTTCAAATCGTATGGATAACCTGCAAATTGAGGTTAACCAACAAATTGATGAATTACAACACCGTCTGGAGATTTCTGAATCAATCCGTGAACAACAATTCCTCAACCTTCAAGAATCCCAATCACAAGTACAAGAAACCCTCACCCGTATTCTAGCCATTCAACAACAGAACTCGGGAAGCACCTCTTCTGCGAGCATTCTAGGAGCTGGACCACACAATCACAATCATCATTCGGGATCAGACACACACAGCTTCCATCAAATCAAGATTGAGTTTCCCAAATTCGCGTCTGGAGATCCTTCCTCTTGGATAACAGCAGCTGAGAGGTACTTTTGATTCTACAATATTCAAGAAAATGAACGGTTATTATTAGCTTCATTCACCTTGAAGATCCAGCAGCTTGTTGGTTTAATGGATTGTTTGATGATAGTAATTTACCTGCATGGCCTGCTTTGTGCATTGCATTACAATACCGTTTTGGTCCTTCAGAATTTGAAGACCAAACAGGTGCATTAGTGAAACTCCAACAAACAGGTTCAGTGAATGAGTATCAAGATCTTTTTGAAAGGCTTGCAAGCAAAGTTTCAGGGATCTCAGTTTCCTTGATGCGTAGCATTTTCATTTCTGGCCTTAAACCAAAGATCTGTCGCCTGGTGCTGACACACAGACCTCGTGATTTCCATGAAGCTTTTGCTCTAGCAAGAGTTTATGAGGATCAATTCACTGATGAAAGATCTCACAAACCATGGGTTACATCAACCAAAACACTATCGTCATCCACTACATTCACAGACCCCAAACCGCTTAGTAACCAACCAAAAACCATACACAATAAACCAATTCCTGCCTTACCTATCCGTCGATTATCTCCAGAAGAAATGCAAGCTAAAAGAGAGAAAAACCTGTGTTACAACTGTGATGAAAGATACGTTTTCGGTCATAAATGCAAAGGCCGAGCCACACTACTATATTTAGAGGGAATGGAAGAAGAACCTGACCCACCTGATGCTAGAGTCACAAATGAATTGCAACCAGAACTAGAGATAGCCCCGGAAATAAGTTTCAATCCTTATTTGGCACTCCCTCAGCCAGATCATTTCGTGTGCAAGGATTGATTGATGGACACTCAACATAGATTTTGATTGATGGAGGTAGTACTCACAATTTCATAACTCCGAGGATGGCTCGTTTCCTTAATTTGCTGCTGCTGTCTATTGTACCTTTCAAAGTACTGTAATGGTGATAATCTCATCTGCTCGGCCAAATACGGTAACACTCCAATATGGATCCAACACCACTTGTTCCACGTTGAATTATATGTTCTGGAACTTAAGGGAGCTGACATTGTCTTGGGAGTCCAATGGCTGGCCACCTTGGGTCCCATTGTCACGGACTATCAAGCTCTCACTATGACCTTCAACCACCAAACAGTTCCAATTACCTTGCATGGGGACAATCCATTCCAAGCCAATCATATTTCTCCTGCCCAACTACACAAACTAGCCACCCAAGATTCAATTGAAGCTTGTCTAATGTGCTTCAATACAGCAAATCAAACAGAACCACCCATACCTAAACCTATACACACGGCAGAAACCCAACAATTACTGTCCCAATTCCCTGACATCTTTGTTGAACCATCTGACTTGCCACCAGACAGAGCCAATAACCACCGTATTATTCTGGAACCTGACACCAAACCAATACAAGTCAGACCTAATCGTTACCCACATTACCAGAAAAATGAGATTGAAAAGTTGGTGCAAGAAATGTTACTTACCGGTGTTATCCATCCCAGCCAATCAGCTTTCAGCTCACTTGTTCTATTGGTTAAAAAGAAAGACGGTACTTGGCGATTTTGCGTTAACTATAGAGCACTAAATGCAGTCAAGGACAAATTCCCAATACCCACCATTGATGAACTCTTAGATGAATTACACGGAGCAATAGTATTTTACAAATTGGATTTGCGTTCGGGTTATCACCAAATCCGAATGGCACCTGAGGATATTCATAAAACAGCTTTCAGGACACAGCATGGCCACTATGAATTTATAGTGATGCCCTTTGGTCTCTCCAATGCTCCTTCCACTTTCCAGGCCACCATGAATGAGGTGTTTTCACCCTATCTTCGTTGTTTTGTGATTATTATTTTTTATGACATTTTGGTGTACAGTCATAACTTGCAGGATCACATCCAACACCTGTCAGTTGTTCTCACTACACTGTGCAGGCATTCTTTTTTTGCCAAGTTGTCAAAGTGCCTTTTTTGTCAGCAGACCATACAGTTCTTGGGGCATCTCATTTCGGGTAAGGGTGTGGCACCGGACCCCCAAAAAACTTCAAGCTATAGCAGAATGGCCTCCTCCAATTAATGCCACCCAAGTGCGTGCATTTTTGGGACTGTCCGGATACTACCGCAGATTCATTAAACATTATGCCCAAATAGCCAGCCCACTGACGGATTTACTGACCAAAGAAGGCTTCCATTGGTCTGCGGAAGCAGCAACAGCCTTTCAAAAACTTAAGAAACAGCTCACTTCAGCCCCAACTCTGGTCCTTCCTAACTTCAAGGAACCTTTTACCATTGAAACTGATGCCTCAGGTGTGGGCATAGGTGCTGTATTATTACAGAAGGGTCATCCCATAGCATTTTACAGCCGCAAATTATCTCCAACCATGCAGGGTAAATCCACTTACATCAGAGTGATGTTTGCAATCACATCCACGGTGGCTAAGTGGAGGCAATATCTTTTGGGAGTTCCCTTCACCATTTGTACTGACCACCAGAGCCTCCATAACTTGATGAATCAGGTTATACAGACACCTGAACAGCAGTAATTCCTCTCCAAACTACTGGGATTCAACTATAACACCATCCACAAGTCTGGCAGGTCCAACAAAGTGGCTGATGCTTTGTCCAGCCACCCCAACACCCAATCAAAGGCAAATTGTGTTCGCTTGGCAGCTTTCACAGCTCCCATCAATAGCTACTGTGAGCTGTTACAGGAAGAACTAAAAAAAGATCTGTATGTTGCCTCGATCTTACAGACCCTTAATCACAACCCAGCATCACTTCCTCAGTGGCATGTTAAAGACAACTTGATGTTTCATCATAGACGCCTCTTTTTACCAGCTGAATCACAGTTGATTCCTCATTTATTGCAAGATCTACACTCCTCTGTACAAGGTGGACACTCAGGTGTCAGAGGCACACTAGCAAGGATCAACCAGAACTTTACCTGGAAATCAATCAGAAAAGATGTTACGCACTTCGTGCAAAATTGCAAAATTTGTCAAAAGATTAAGCCACCCAACCATTACCCATTGAGATTGCTTCAACCCATTTCCCCACCAGACCAAATTTGGACAGATTTAGCAATGGATTTTATTACACACCTGCCTAGTTCATATGGATTCTCAGCAATACTGGTTGTAATTGATCGTTTCTCCAAAGGTGCCCACTTTGCTCCTCTACCGTCCCAGTACACAGCATACAAGGTAGCCCAAGTTTTCTGGAACACGGTTGGGAAGCTCCATAGGATTCCACACTCCATCATATCTGACCGTGATCCCATTTTTTTAAGTAATTTTTGGCGAACTCTTTTTCATCTGCAAGGAACCAGTCTAAAATTCAGCTCAGCATATCACCCACAAACAGACGGAGTCATAGAAAGGTTAAACAGAAGCTTGCAATTGTACCTTCGTGCCTTTGCACATGACTTTCCTGCGTCCTGGGTCAAGCATTTGGCATGGGCTGAGTACCATTACAACACCCCTACTCATAGCTCCACGAGTATGTCCCCTTACCACATCATATTTGGTAAACCTCCACCTAATATGCTGGCATACACATTAGGGTCTTCATAAAATGAGGCAGTAGATTCAGAGCTGACAACACGAGCAGACGTCCTCGCCGGAGTAAAAATTCATCTGATTAGGGCTCAGCAACATATGAAATCAGTTGCGGACAAAAAGAGAAAAGACATTACCTTTGAGGTGGGAGATCGAGTCCTGCTCCGTTTTCATCCATATCGCCAGTTGTCGGTGCAGAGAAGATCATCTCATAAACTGAGCTTGAGGTACTACGGACCCTTCAAAATCATGGAGCGGATAGGTCCAGTAGCATACCGGTTAGACCTCCCTACGTCCTCATGCATACATCCGGTTTTTCATATGGCTTTATTGAGACCCTTCCGTTCAAACCAGACACCTCATATTCATCCACTTCCACAGTTACCTACCGCATTCACACCAATCCATAGACCCAAGGTTGTAGTGGCATCTCGCACAATCCGGCGCAACGAGATACAGGTACCCCAACTCTTGATTCAGTGGGAGGGTCTACCACCAGAAGATTCCACATGGGAAGATGAACGAGAAGCCAGGGAAAACTCTTCCCTTCTGTCCGACATTATAGGCGTGATGGTTCTGCCGGAAAAAGGGCAAAGCTCGGAGCTTTCACCTTCCAAAACCCAAGCCATTCATCCACAGGACCCGAAAGCCACAAGCTCGCGATCTTCATCTTGTCCAGAAGTGCTGATTTCAAATTCCATAGTTGATTATGTCGCGTTGACAGACAACCAGTACCACAACCCTAACCTTCAATCAGAACCACACCCACCAATTTCAATCACGACCGTCAATCTCCCAACCGAACCCACTCATCCAATGGTTGTTAATAATCCCTTTACAGCTGGCCACCAACCCACCGACAAAGTCACACTTGTCACTGTTCTTGACCAAGACAACTCTTATCACAGCCACCTCAGGGACGAGGCGGATTTTCAACAGGGAGGGGATGTTACGGCCCATCTGAACGTTAGACCCAAGAGGGTTAGTAAGCGGCCCACTTATCTGGACCAGTACCATTGTTAGGTGACTGAGCCCATCTAATTGTATTTTGACATTTTTAGTCTATGAAAGCTAATACGTAAGCTCCACAGGGAATAGTTACTGGAATTGAGTTAGTAAATTGTTAGAATGTATTAAAAACACATATGGGAAAGGAAAATGGCATGAAAAGTTTGACAGTCTCTTCCTTCTTTTGATCTCATCTCTCCTTTTTTCTCTCTCTTCTCTAAATCCTTACAATTTCAAGAATATTCGTAACACTGCGCTTTGAAGCCACTTATAAAATGTTGAAAGCCAATGAAGGTTGACTCAATTATAAAGCGTTGAAAGCCAACGAAGGTTGACTCAATTATAAAGCGTTGAAAGCCAACGAAGGTTGACTCAATTGGTAGTATCCAATATCTCCAACAAAGAAGTCCTGAATTCAATTTTTGTTGGTGGTCCTTCATTTATAAGTCATTTGTAAGTAACCATTATAAGCTTTTATTGAGGCTTGTAGCAATGCTCGGACCTACGGATAGAACAATTTCTCCTTCACTTAAACGTTAAATTGTTGCAAATTATGTAACCAAGCTTCTTAATTACCACTGCTTTCATGATCAAGCCTGAAAGAAGAGCATTTGGTGTGTACTTAGAAGGTAGAACAGAAACTACCAAGCAATGTCAACTTCAGAACAGATTATTTACCTCCCACCGAGACTAAGCATAAAAATGTAACTAAACTGCATGGGTATATTGAAGGTACAAAGAATTTACATATATGATCTCTCAATTCACAGAAATCCCAATCAGACAAAGTAGTGGGAAACAACTTCTTTGTTATATAGTACATTACAGATACTGAAAGCTGCATACGTATGATCTCTCAATTCACAGATCATCCCAATTATACAACTCGAAAAGAGTCAGCTATCTTCTTCAAATCTTTGTAGTGTCTCTTCCACTGAAGGCCTGCAATTAAGACAACATTAGATTCTAATCTGTTAATTCTTGTATACTCTTTTTTATACTTTTTTTTTTTTATAGTACATTATATACTTTCTTTATGGTTGTTCAAAACTACTTAGAAGAGGAGAAATATCTATACCACTGCCGGTTACAGCAAACAAGTACAGGCGATTGCCAGCTGCAGTGGCAGTAATAAAAATATGAGGAGGCTCTAGCTCAAACTGGTAGTAAGTTCTTCCTTCATGTTCTGCAACACTTGCACTAAGAACCTTCCCTTCTACATTTTCCCCAATCACTTCTGGACCAAATGCATTGATCACTTTGTCTGGAAGTCCGATTTGTTCTATTTTAGCATCATCGCCAAGGTCTGTATAGTAAAAATGTTATTATCCAAAACTAGTAATACGTGGAAATTCTACCAAGCAGTTTCCATGTTCTTTCTTTATCAATTTTTTTTTTCCTTGTCTCCAGAAAACCAAAATGGATAAAGAAAATTAGGCAAACTCACTATCAGAGAATCTAAGAACAGGAGCAACAATGACAAACAGGCGTCCTTCTTTAGAGCTGGCAAATCTCAAATCTATCTCTGTGCCACCAAGATCCGCTATTGATACCGGTACCTGTTACACAGATGAATGGTGAGGTTTACAGAAGTAGCAAGCAGAAGAACAAAAGGCAGAGATTATGTCCTCCAGATGATCAAATGTTACAACAACATATCTTTCTGATAAAAATATAAGTAAATTGCTCACACAAAAAGAGAAGTAAGTTATTTCATATGCTCATTTAAGGAATTTCCAATGTATGCTTAAAACTTTTTAATACTTGGGACCAGTTGAGACAGAACAGAAATCTTATAGGATTATTTTCAAACTTTAAATAGAAGATATTATTAATCATCACCTCTTCCCATTCTGGAGGCACTGAGAAGGCATATGGGATAATAGGACTCCATCCAACACCATGTCCTCCTGACTTCTCATCTGGCCTACGATATGTCCTCCAACCTGTCTGATCAAATACTTGCCCACATTATGTCACTTATACAGTTATACTTAAAATCTATAACAGAAGAGACAATTGGAACTCGAATTTCAAAACTTGTAAAAGCACAACTTCAATCTAAAAATAAACTAATCCAAAGTACGCACCTAAACACCGCATGCCTTAAGCCTACAAATGGAAGGCAATTTTTATTTTTTATTTCCTAGAATGACCATTTGGTAATTGGTAGCTTGATGAAAAAAATTTACCCTCGTAAAGGGTATTAAGTATTAAACCACAATGTTCAACCAAATAACGAATTCTTTTAAACTAAACAACCATAAATTTTATATTGTAGTAGTATACAACAATTTTGACCATCTTTCATCATGCAACAATTCGCAAATTTCCTTTACCATGGCTTCCATTTGCAATTTATCTTTACTGTGGATTTTATCTTTTCTGTCATGTTAAAAATTCATTTGCTACAGAACAGACTACAGTTACGGACTAGAGAATAGAAATAAGGGTTTTATGTAATATAACATGGTGTCCACATGTTTTTCTTTCTCTTTTATCATTCCACTCTCTCTCTCACTTTTGATGTGAGAGTTGAAAACAACACTTACATCATGTTACACTAATAAAACCCTAGAAATAAATGGTAGAAGGGTTTGTCTCTCCAAATAAATATAATCTTTGATGATCCAAAATAAACGAACCTTGTTCATCTGGCTCGGAGAGACCAGGGATTCTCCCTGCTAGAGGACCTTGTTTTACCACTGCCAAACTCTCTCCCGGAAAACCCAATAAGGAAACCCCAGAAGCCAAAACTGTTCTTCTGTTCACCAACAAAGTGGAACAGTTCTCGCTTTCTCTAGAAATCAAACAACTGTCTTTCGAGACCGAAGCAGCTACAGTTCTTAGAACTCCATTTTGGAGTGAAAAGTGGCAAAGTGATTCTGAAGAGGGTGGCATATGCATGTGTTGCCGATTCCTCCAGCAAAAAACACTGGTTGTGGACAAGGCTGTTGCCATGTCCACGAAGATTTATGTGTTTATTGGTTAAGGATGCGAGAGAAAGGAAAAGAGAATTTGGTCAGCTCAGTGTACAAAACTGCGGAAAATCACATAAAAACTGGGGAAAACATTAATGTAGAAGTTGAGGTCCTGAGGCTAAGGTTACCGAGGTTAAGGATTTTTGTGGACACGGTGTTGTTATGTTTGTGAAGCTCGACTATTTTGTTCCATGTTTCTGCTAACATGTTGCAATTTCTGACCTAACACGTGTCAAATTCGTGCAATTTCTGGCCTTACACTTGCACCGAATACGTTTCTAAGAATAGAACTGATATTTGATCTTTCAAATATTTATGTTAATTATAGGTTAATGATTCAACTAAGAATTTGATCAACTCCATAATGATTTACAGCTCGAGGATTTTTCTACTTAACGAAGGATGTTTATGTAACTCTTTTGTTGTAAGATCGAGATTTATATAATAATCAATCTTTGAGAGTGTTTAAAGCCTACTAGACCAGTCTCTAAGTGATAAATCAATTGGAATATGTTTATCTATATAAAACATGTTTATGATTATTATGGTTTTAGTGCATACATTAGCAATGGTGAAATAACATTTATGTCCTTTGAGTTTCTAACTTGGAAATAAATGTGGTAATATGAGTTGAACTTGATGGATCAATCAGTCAAAACAAGATGGCTTGGGTTATATATCTCAAATTCAATCCATCAACCTGTCTCAACCCGCCCCGCTTAGTTCTAGGTCACAACGGGTTGGCAGCGAGTTTGGGGCTTTCGGTTGGTTGGCCCGCGGGTCATTCTTTTTTTAAACTATTAGGTAGTATTTTATTTGTCATTAAATTTTTATTATATAATTTTTTTATTTTAGTATTCCTCTAGAAAAAATAAAGAAAAAAATTATTTATGACAAAGATTATCCATATATGGAGACAAAATTAAGTTTCTAAAAAATGTCTGACTGAATATTAGCTTATATTTAGACTTGAGATTGGAAAAAAATTAAAGAGAGCGTGAAATAAAAATAAGTAATATTATAAAATTAATAAAATATAATTTATTTTTATTTTTTAAGAGGAGTGGCGGGGCGGGCCAACCCATTTTTAACGAGTTGACAGCGAGTAGGAACAGACTGACTCGTTTTGCCACCTCTACTTGAAACTTTAGCTATTTGCCCCTTAATTTTTTTAAAGTAGATAAAAATTTAAATTAGAGAAAAGTATGTTCATTCAAAGGTTAGAAAAAGTTGCTAACCTCATTGAGGATTTACAATAAAATTATAATATTATCTAGAGAAAAATTCGAAAAATTCCTATGATTTTGCTTCGAATTACTTATTTCCTATGTTTTTTCTTAATCATTTACCCCACTATTTTTATAAAGTTAAAATACTTACCGAAAAGATTAAAAGTACAAAAACAGATAAACAAAAAAATTATAAGAAAAAAAACAAATATGTCTAAATTAAAAAGAAGAAAATAGGTTTACGAAAAAAGAGAGAGAGAAGAAAATAGACCCGCGAGAAATAGAAGAAATTTGAAATTAACGAACACACAACGATTGAGTGTGTCCCTATACCATATCTGTACAAATAGAATATATCATTTATACAGAATGGTATGAGGAAAAAAGAAAAGAAAAAATAAGACCATATATGTTAAAAACTTACAATAGAAACAAAAAGATACTAAAAGTAAACAAATTAAAATAGTCTAAATCAAAAAGAAGAAAATAGACCAAAGATAAAAAATAAACAAGACTAAATATGTTTAAATAAAAAAAAGAATATAGTCTGAAAATAACAAAATAGAAGAAAAAAATAAGACTAAATATGTTAAAATTTTACAAAACTAATTTCTTTTTCTCCTATTTCGTTTTTGTTTAATTTTTTTCTATTACTTTTAACAATGATAGAAAATACTAAAAGTCAAAAAAAAATAAAAATAGAAGGAAAGAAAGACCAAATATATCTAAATAAAAAAAAACAAAATAGACCGGAGATAAAAAAAATGATAAGACCAAATATATCGGCAACTTACAGCACTAATTTTTTTTCTATTTCTTTTTTGTCTTGTTTTTTCTTTTATTTGTTTGTGTCTAGTCTATTTTTTTATTATGATTATTTTTATTTGTTTTATTTTTAGTCTTTTTGTCATTGTTGTAAGTTTCCAATATATTTGGCCTTATTTTTTCTTTTCTTTTTTATTCTCAATCTATTTTCTTCATTTCGATTTAGATATATTTGATTTTTTTTTCTATTTTCATTTTTTTTACTTGTAGTTTTATCGGTAAGTGTTGTAAGTTTTCAACATATTTGGTCTTGTTTTTTAAGTGATTAACAAAGAAAAAACAAATGGAGGTAAATGATTCAAAGCAAAATTATAGGAAAGTTTTTTTTAAAAATTTCCTATTAGTTATTAAAGAAAGAAGGGGATAATTATGTTTACAAACTCTTACAAACTACATTATGTACCTGGGGAGTACACTCATTAGTAATGTATTCGCCAGAGTACAAAATGTAGTATATAAGAGTTTGTAAACAAAAAGTTAATAAATATTACATATTCCAAGAAAGAAACTTAAAAATTGAACTCAACAAGCGAATGACTTATGCTTGTTGAGAATGGTATGGGGGAGCCCAAAATCCTTTGCAAAGGATTCCTCCACCAATGAGTCAAATGACAAACCATAATAACTGGGTCGACACCATATCTCAACTCAAAACCTTAAGGCTATAGGTTTATGGATCTTTTGCACTTATATAGTCCTCATTTGATTTATGTCTAACCAATGTAGAAATTCACACCACTACTCACACTTGAATATTTTCAACATCATTCCCTCAAGTGTGAGGCCCAACATCTTGGTCCCCCTTGGGGACAACTTCTACGAAAATATTTTCTTTTCAAGTATTAGAGTAACACTAGCCTTCTACGGAGGCCCAACAAAACCGTTGCTCTAATACCAATGTTGAGAATGGTATGGGAGAGCCCTAAATCCTTTGCAAATGATTCCTCCACCAATGGATCAAATGACAAACAACAATAAGTGGACCGACACCACATCTCAACTCAAAACCTTAAGATTATAGATTTATGGGTCTTTTACACTTATATGATTCTCACTTGATCTATGTCTAGCCAATATGAAACTTTACACTACATACTCACACTTTAATATTTCCAACAATACTTTTGTTGTTTTAAATTCTTGCAATATCTATACGTTAGTTAGTCATGGCAGTTCATTAATTTCTCAAATTTATAATTTTATATTATAAAGCTATTTGGTATGCTTGACACTTAGACATCCAGTAGGTAATTGATTATTTTGGCAATATGCGAGTGGGATGATATGTCATTGAAACCTTATGGATTGTGAACTATATCCAGTGTTTTAAAACCTCACCCCGTCCCCCGAGTTAACCCGGGTCAACCTTGACCTCTTTCTTATGTAGGTTGGGGTCACAAGTTGGACCTATATGCTCATCGACCCCTCCGACCCCTAAAACCCGGCCGGGTTTCAGTGACTCCCGGATCACAGGGGTCAAAGGGGGTCACTGTATGTTTTTTTTAAAAAAAAAATTCCATGAAACAACTTCGTTTTATTAAAATAAATAAATAAAAATGCTTGCAAACTTAAATCTAATCGTTCTCTTCTCTCCCAGCGACCTATATGTCTTCAATCTTCACCTCGCAGACGTGAATCTTCTAGAAAATGTAAGAATTTTATCTATTCAAATGAAACCCCTACGGTTGTCGATGGAAAACAAAAACTCATTCTTACTTTCTTTACATTTTCCTTTGTCAGGGACCTTCTCCAAAGAGGCAGAACCGGGTCAGCGTATTGATCCATTAGAATATGAGTTTTGTACTTTGGTATCTTGATACTTTAATTAGGTTGTGTAATATTGACTTGTGATTGTAATTAGTGAATTATGTTAAGTATATTTTGAATGTTTGATGATTGGTGGTTTGTTTTTTAATATTTTTATATATGATATATATATATATATATATATATATATATATATATATATATTTTTTAATATATAAAACCGGGTCAGCATAGTGACCCCGTGACCCCCCGGTTAAACACGTGACTTCATGACCCCTGACCTCGGCCGGGTCGATGGTCGGGCCGGGTTTTTAAACACGGACTATATCTGAGATTATAATTATTTTTAGTGGCGGGTTAAAAATTAAAGATTGATTCTTCGTCGTTATAATATGTAACATGAAATTATTCTTTTCTAAATGTATAGACATAGCTCGGGTTTCTACTTTACCAACATGCAAAGAAGTTCAGATGTGTTCTGTCTTGGTCTTGGTGATAGAGATGTCCAGCCGATAGTTGGTATATTTATGTTGGATCTGAATGTCTTCTCTCAAGTATCTATGAGGAAGATACCTCAAATAATCATTGTATACTATTATAGACAGCCAAAGAGTGGGGTGTATGCACAGTGACAATTAAAAGAGAGTTTAGAATGTGTGTACTTGACTGGCTTAACTCTTTATTTATAGGATTTATCTATGGATAGTGGATTTCTGGACCTTTGCAGGCTTTTTTGAAGATCCATGTCCATATTCATAGCTGTCGCATTAGGATTAGCATTTTATTTATCTTATTTTTCTCTTTCAGATGCCCTTTCTTAGGCCTTCCAGAATGTAGACCTCTCACATAGGCCCATAACAAGATGTATAAGAAAAATCCATAAGCCAATGCTTATAGGCAATGTTATTAAACTCGGCCCTGTTATTGATCCGGTCAAGGTACTGGGTCACTGAGTCACCGATTCAATCAGTGGGTCACTGGTTCAACCGCATGACCTAGTAAGTATATGTAAATCTACAATTTATATTAAAAAAACGATAAATATACTTAAATACTTGTAAAAAATATACCAATTTCAAATATTTAATATGAAAATAATAAATTACACATCATTGTCCAACAGAAGATCAATCAAACATATAATATTTGTGATACTAGTGTTTTAGGTTCAGTAAACGATATCTCTAACTATAAATCAAATCAAAATTCCCTGCATATTGCATAATCAAGATAATATTAGTGTTGTAGGTACATAATCTATGTAATTTAATAAGCTACAAATCACTCAAATATTTTCAAAAGAAAACAAACCATTTGTGTTTGAGAATAAAAAAAAGATATTAATTTATGAAAATAAATTAGTTTTTTTTATAGACCGAGCCGGGTCACCGATTTTTACGAAAATCGGTCGGGTCGCACCGGTTCTGTAACATGGCCGGTCCAATATGAAAACCGGACCGGTTCACCGATTTCCGGGTCGACCCGGCCGGGTCGGTCCGATTTTTATAACATTAATTATAGGACTCATCTGAATCTTCAAAAATCTTCATCATGTTAGGAATGTGACTTCCATACTCAAGAGGGGGGTGAATTGAATATTATAATATTTTCACAAAAGCCCCCTTCAAGTTTCTAAATAATCATTTCAAGCAAACTTTGATATGTGAAAAGCTAATCAATACATTCAAATAATCCATAATATACAATATATCATAATTATAGAACTTGTACTAATACATATAAGATATCAAAGAAGCAATTAAAGTGCTAGAAATAAAGAGTTTAGAGTTTAGAGAATTGCAAATATCCTGGTTCGGTCACCACTACTTGTGACCTACGTCAGACTGAAGCCGCTTGATCAACACTTTTACTAATGGTCAAGCTTCACGGGTGTTTGACAAACCTTTACAATCTTCCAAGACTTCGGATTCTTGGATACCTTACAATCTCCAAGTTTACGAGTACTTGGCAACCTTATAATTCACTCCAAATTTAAGGAGGGAAATATTTGAAAATGAATATACACTCTCAAAGTGTGGATATACAACTTGAAGCACAATGGGTATATGGATTTTCAAGATATGAGCTCAAATATGTTTGATCTTTGAAAGATATGAAAAAATATGCAAATGATAGTGTAGAAGCTCTCAAATCATCCTTAAGATGTGTAGGAATAGTGATCAATGCATTTTAGGGTCATAAGGAATGTATTTATAGGGTCATTTTTCTCAAATGATAGTGTAGAAGCTCTCAAATCATCCTTAAGATGTGTAGGAATAGTGATCAATGCATTTTAGGGTCATAAGGAATGTATTTATAGTGATTTTTCTCAAAACTAGTCATTTATAGTCGTTATAGACTTTTTGTCGCAGGGGGAATCCATTCTCATACTTAGGTAATCGATTCTCAACCTTTCCAGGAAGAGGGAATAGATTCCCACATGGTGGTAATCGATTTCCTAGTGAGGAAATCGATTCTCAACCTGTTGGAAGGCTGGAAATTCGACAATAATAACATTATTTCGTATTTTGGGCATAACTTGAGCTATTCTTGTCAGATTGATGTGATCTTAGTCTCGTTGGAAAGATAAATGAAAGATCCACAACTTATATGAAGAACACAAGTGGCTTATTCGGTCCAATTTTAACAAGTGGCTCTTCCATTATTATTTTTACAAAACAAAAACTAATAAATCATTACATGCATATCAAACACAAATAAAGAAAGTGTTATGACAACCAAATACATATATCTATGATCATTGAACAAATGAAATTATAACAAAGTTGTTTGTCATCTTGAGAAAGAGAATGGTTAATACAAGCATGATTTCTATTCCATTTGTTGATAACCCAAATAGTGTAGGTCTCTTGTACATGTACCCTCACCCTTCATGAACAACTGTTATTATGATTTTGACATATTACAATCAATTTAGTAGGGTCACATTTTTAGACAAGGATTGTTTGATATATCTTCATTCAATATTGTTTTATCGCTCTTTGCACATTATACCTGGACTCAAACTCTTAATTTTGATATAACTCTTATTCTAATTGCCAATTGCCCTAATGTTCTCCCTCAAAGCCAAGCCTATCTTGATCTAGGTAAACCCAATTAATATATGTATAACGTACATTATCGGTCGAAAATGAAATATTACTATGACCTACACATTCACATACAGCAGTAAGATGCATAAACTAAATAATACAATTAGGTTCAATAAATGATACATTTCGTACATTTACCTTCCACATGATGTTGATATCCACACACAACACATGGTGATGGAACTTGAGGACATATCACAACATTTATCGGCACATTAGGCATACATGGTTTAACATCAAAATCACCCTTCATGTCGGTATCTGATGAGTCACTAACTGAAATTAGACTTTCATCAGCTTTATCCTCATTCCTGTTTGTGGACCAAGTAAGGTTGAAATTGTCTTTCTCGACTATCATTTGACTTAAAGTTGGTGGAGGTGAAGGTGGAAGTAGAGGGAACATACCTTTGTTAATTTTCATGATATTGAATTGGTTCATTCTCAAGAACTAAAAAATAAACCGATTTTGTCAAATATTATTTTTATCAATTTCTGTTCTTCGAGAATAAAAATTGAAAAAAAATTAATTCTGATAAATTTGCCATGCATGCTTGTCCTGTGTTTGGCATGAAAAAGTGTCTTTTGGTAAACTTAATAACAAGATTTTATATTTAACAAATTAGAAAATAATTTGAAAACGTAACATTTTAATATTTTTTTTTTAATAAATATAACATTTTAATATTTACTTTTGCAAAACATGTTATAATGTTCGGAATCCCTATATGTTACCCAAAGATGAATGATAATAAGAAGTTAAATATAAATAAAAAAGGATAAGCTATACTTATTACCATATTTTCTTATTATCTTTTATTATCGTTAGATCAAAATAAAATTAATAATTATAAAATAATATCGAGTTAGAATTATTGATTTGATTTTGATATATTAATAATAAAATTGGTAGTAAGGAATAAGGATAGTAAAAATATGATAGTAAATATAACTTCCTCGATACAAAAATATTGTAGAAGTATAATTTTTCAATGCAAAATTCTATCCGAACATGTTTTATTTATTTTGGTTTTTGGTAGGAGGTTTTATATTTCCTAGCATTATCATCATAGGTTCAATTTTCTTTTAAATACTTCTGAGCAGTGTTATTAAAATCGAACCGATCTGGCCGGGTCGACCCGTGAACCGGTAAACCGGTCATATAATCGGTTCGGTTCAAGCAACGGATCGGCCATGCATCAAAACCGATGCGACCCGGTCGGTTAACCGGTGACCCGGCCCAATCCCAAAAAAATTCCAAATTTTTTTTCAAAATAAATAAATCATAATAGACATATTTAAATATATTTATTTCTTATTAACTTACATAAGCTATGTACCTACAGCACTAATATTATCTTAATTATGCACAATGCAGAAAATTTCGATTTGATTTATAGTTAGAGATGTCATTTTCTGAACCTAAAGTCCCGTATCACGATCATTATATTTTTATTTGATCCTTTATTGTATAATAATATGTGATTTATTCTTTTTTATATTAAAATATTTGAATTTTTTGTCATTTTTGCTTAAATATTTGAGTATGTTTATAATTTTTTAATACAAATTATAAAATTACATATAATTAACAGATCATTCGGTTGAACTAGTAATTAGTGAAGGAGTGACAATTGACCTAGTACCTCCACCGATCAATCACCGGCCGGTTTTAATTACATTGCTTCTAAGCTTACACGCCGACAAATTGATGGGGGTTAAAAGAGGCAAACGAATTGGATTAGGAAAATTAATACAACCCAAGTCGTCGTCTCTTTTTCTTGTAATTTTACAGTTCATACCATTTTATCTATTCAATCATCTTATTTAATTAATTGGATTTTTACGGCCTTCATTGCTATTTGCTGTCACCATAAAATCTCTTCTAGGCTGCTGGCACGCGCGCATAGCAGCAGCGCTCACATCAGAAGCTTAGGGTTTTCGCCATGAGTCACCGAGGAATGGACCGCGACGACGAGGAGGACGAGGAGTACGAGGAGGATGAGCAGGTTGCCGATTTCGACGAGGATGAAGCGGAGGAGGAGGAGGAAGAAGAGGAGAGAGGAGGCGGCAGGAAGCGTAGGAGATCTAGCTTCATCGACGACGATGCCGAGGAGGTCGACGAGGATGAGGACGAGGAGGACGATGACGAGGATTTCGACGGTCGTGGAAGTGGCCGGAAGCGCCAGCAGTACAGGAAGATGGATGCTAAACATTTTCTCGACATGGAGGCCATGGTCGATTCCGACGATGAAGAGGAAGAGGAAGAAGGCGAGGATGGTGCGTTTTTCCTCCCCCCCCCCCCCCCCTTTTGCTTTTCTCTAATTAGAGGAAAACCAATCCAATTAGATATGAAAGGGAGAGAAATTAGGGTTTCTCCTTCTCAAGTGTCTGTTTTCTTCGTCATTTAGGTTCATTTTTGTTTGAAAATCATCTCGTAGTGTTGGTTATATGAGATGATCCTTTTTTGGTAGGAGATTTGTAATTTGGGGCATACTGTTTTGTGTTAACAGGGGATTGAAATTCACCATTGCTTATAAGTCTTGAAAGTTAGAAATGCTATTTAATCCTGAACTCGCACCGTTTCTTGCTTTTTAATGTAGATGCATTGTCATGTATGTTATTATTGGTGTTTGGATGCAATTATGCAAAATCGGTTGTCGTTCTCAGTTTTTTTTTTTTTGTAAAAAGCCAGGTTCTTATACATTTTCATGTTACTTTTTCAGATGATTCTGCTTGGTTATGGGGGCTTGTTGTAGTTGAGTTTTTATTGATTTGGAGTTTGAAGTGCTACTCTTTGTGAAAATAAAAGGTTGTCAAAACAGAAAAAAAATTATGTGGTAGTCAGTAAATCAATTATGTGAATATAGCTCAAAATCTTTTTCATATAGTTTCTATAATTGTAATTGGTAAGTTAAATTCTTTCCTCCCCTCACCTTCTATAGATTTCAGTTGTTTTATGTCATGAACCTAAACTATGATATATTGAGAGTATCTTAAAACACTAGTTGTTTACAAAGACAGTGTTTATAACCATCCGGAGTTTAATAATAAACAGTAAAATAAGTGTCTCCTTTGCATTCCCTATTTTTTGTTTTTATGTTTGAAGATATCTGAAATTGGTATCTAGTGACTCGAATTGTAGAGTTTTCGTGAATACATCAATTCAGAATACATCGGTTGCTGCAAATCTTCTTTATCTCTGCCTTTTAACATGTTTGTTATGCATGTACATTGTGTTATGATGCTGTATTTTTTACTTTTGTGTGAGACTCAATGCTGGGGAAGGATTGAATTTTCTGTTTTTCTACTGTTTTGCACATGATTGATCAGTTGTCAGAAAATTGTTATGTCTCAGGCTCTCAGGTACTTTGTTTAAAATATGTCAATTATCTATGTGGATAAGTTAACAACCGTCTGAAACATGCAGACTTCATTGTTGAGGGTGGAGCTGATCTGCCTGATGAAGATGATGGTAGAAGAATGCGTGGTAGAAGTATGCTGCCACATCACCAAGACGATCATGACGATCTTGAAGCTGTGGCAAGAGGCATAAAGGAACGATATGGAAGGCGTGTGTCAGATTATGATGAAGAAACCACAGATGTAGAACAACAAGCTCTTTTGCCATCTGTGAGAGATCCAAAGCTGTGGATGGTCAAATGTGCGGTATGATCCTATCAATTTTGTTATAATTTCCTGATTTTGGCAAGGATATAGAAGCATGTCATATCCTTTGGTTTATGTTTCATTAGATTGGTCGAGAACGAGAAACAGCTGTATGCCTTATGCAAAAGTATATAGATAAGGGGTCTGAATTACAAATCAGGTCAGCTATTGCTCTTGATCATCTCAAAAACTATATATATGTGGAAGCGGATAAAGAAGCCCATGTCAGAGAGGTATTGCATTCTAAAATGTCTGTTGTTCATCACACATATCTTTATGGATAAAATTGTGAAGCTTTTTTATTTTGCATATGTTTCAGGCTTGCAAAGGTCTACGCAACATTTTTGGACAAAAAATAACACTTGTTCCAATCAGAGAAATGACTGATGTTCTGTCTGTTGAAAGCAAAGCGATTGATCTTGCCAGAGATACTTGGGTGAGAATGAAGATTGGGACTTATAAAGGGGACCTTGCCAAAGTATGCATCACATTCTAGAAAACTCATGATACCATTCCATTTGCTTTCTTTATTCACCATCAAACATCTCTTCTGTAGGTAGTGGATGTCGATAATGTGCGGCAGAGGGTTACTGTGAAATTAATTCCAAGGATAGACCTACAGGGCCTTGCAAACAAATTGGTATGTAATGTTTCAGTGTCTTGTTCATTATGCTTTATATTTGTCCAGCAGTAGCTTTCTTGAAAGTTAAAATAGCTCGAGTCCCTAATTTTGTGCAAAACACATGTATCATGCAGGAAGGTAGAGAAGTTGCGAAAAAGAAGGCATTTGTTCCTCCTCCTCGTTTTTTGAATGTCGATGAAGCTAGGTAGTTATGATTCTCTCCTTTCTATTATTGAATGTCTTCTATTTCTTGGAAACTTTCCAGTTCCTGGTCTGATAGAATTTATGCTTTCTATTCAGAGAACTGCATATTCACGTGGAGCATAGACGTGATGCATATGGGGAACGATTTGATGCCATCGGAGGCATGATGTTCAAAGATGGATTCTTATATAAAACTGTATCAATAAAATCCATTACTGCTCAGAACATCAAACCTAGTTTTGATGAGCTTGAAAAATTTCGTAAACCGGGTGAGAGTGGAGATAGTGATGTTGCAAGTCTGTCAACTTTGTTTGCGAACAGAAAGAAAGGGCATTTTATGAAAGGAGATGCTGTAATTGTTGTCAAGGGCGATTTAAAGAACCTGAAGGGGTGGGTGGAGAAAGTTGATGAAGATAATGTTCATATAAGACCAGAGATTAAGGGTCTCCCGGTAAGTATGATTTGATTGATAATAGACTGGTTTCCTTCCCTGGAAAATCTTCCAGTTTCGCATGTTGATGATTAGTAATAAATTGTTTTAATGATCTAATTATCTTTCTTTTTTTCCCTCTCATTTTCTAGAAAACTCTAGCTGTAAATGAAAAGGAACTTTGTAAGTATTTTGAGCCTGGAAATCATGTTAAGGTTGTTTCCGGTGCACAAGAGGGTGCTACTGGTATGGTTGTGAAAGTCGAGCAGCATGTTCTGATCTTAATATCTGATACAACAAAAGAACATGTGAGTTAATTTTCCCTTTATTTACTTGGTGAAAGACCTGTGAATTTCTACTTATTTTTAGTGCAGAAATGACATAAAAATATCCTTTCTTCAGATCCGTGTTTTTGCCGATGATGTAGTTGAAAGTTCCGAAGTGACCACTGGAGTCACAAGGATTGGGGATTATGAACTTCGTGATCTTGTATTGCTAGAGTAAGCCTTATGTTGTTTTTGAGATTAGGCATAGCACCTTGCCGTATGCTGTAGTTCAAACTTATCTCACTTCATTGTAACATGGTGCAGTAATTTGAGCTTTGGTGTGATAATACGTGTAGAAAGTGAGGCATTTCAGGTTAGTATCTTAATGAATCAAAATTTTAAGACCTTTTAATTAAAATTTTGAGACCTTTGTTATTATATTTACATCTGTTGCCTTTTTCTAGGTTCTTAAGGGGGTTCCTGACAGACCCGAGGTTGTGCTTGTTAAATTAAGAGAGATCAAGTGTAAGATAGAGAAGAAAATAAGTGTGCAGGATAGGTTTAAGAATACAATATCATCAAAGGATGTTGTGCGGATTGTTGAGGGTTCCTGCAAAGTGAGATTCTGACTTTTGGCTAGATTTATTTCTTTGAAGTTAATATTGTTCTGATTTTGGCTTTCTTATTTTGGGTAGGGCAAACAAGGTCCTGTGGAGCACATATATAGAGGAATCTTGTTCATCTTTGATCGTCATCACCTTGAACATGCAGGCTTTATATGTACTAAGGCCCAATCATGTGTTGTTGTAGGAGGTTCACGCTCCAATGGTGACAGAAATGTAACAATTTTTCCTATTTTAATTCTTTTTTATTTATTGTTTTATCGTTGTGATAGTTTTGTGCTTACATATATTTCTTTTCTTCTCTAGGGTGACGCCTACTCAAGATTCCCGAGCCTTAGAGCTCCTCCTCGTATTCCACAGTCTCCAAGGAGGTTTCCTCGAGGAGGGCCTCCAATTGACTGTATGCTTAAACCTTTTCTTATATTATATGCTGGAACATTGAATCAGTCAATCATTTTAATTTACCACCTTATTTTCTTTTAAGAAAACTGTCTAATGTAATTTATTTGGATGTGGTATAGCTGGAGGAAGGCATAGGGGTGGTAGAGGTCACGATGGTTTGGCAGGTGCAACTGTTAAAGTACGCCAGGGTCCCTATAAAGGTTATCGTGGGCGTGTCATAGAAGTTAAAGGCACATTAGTTCGGGTTGAATTGGAGTCCCAAATGAAGGTTGTGACAGGTAGGTCTTCTAATTTTGGCAAGCCTGAACTGCATGTATTGTTGTACTTGTCTGGTCTCTGACTTGGGTGTTTGCAGTTGACCGCAACCATATATCTGACAATGTAGCTGCAACCCCATCTCGGTAAGTTATATATACATATAATTTGTGATCCTTGTGTGCATCGCAAGGTATTCAACCATCTGATTCTCATGTTTTCTGCTAGTGATACATCTCGATATGGGATGGGAAGTGAAACCCCAATGCATCCTTCTCGAACTCCCTTACATCCATATATGACTCCTATGAGAGATCCTGGAGGTTTGTTTGATTTTATTTTTATAGGATTTTATTTTTATAGGGCTGTCACTTGAGTCTCATTTGACTGAATAGGCATAATTGCTAATATTTGTCAAATGTAATGCTATTTGTAGCAACGCCTATTCATGATGGAATGAGGACACCTATGCGTGACAGAGCATGGAATCCTTATACGCCAATGAGTCCTCCAAGGTTTGTCATAACATCCCCTCTGAGCTAATATATACTGCTCTCTGATTTGGTTTATTTTTCTTAATTTTCTGTTTTAATAGTTGGACTTCTTCCTTCTGATCTGTATGCCTTGCCTTTTATTAGATTTCTTCTTTTATCCAACAGAAAAGGGAAAAGATAGGATAAGATCTAGTTGATCAACTTTTTAATAGGTATCGATGTCCTAAGAAAAGCTAGTAGAGAAAAATGGTTATAAGGAACTTGGTAGTAAAAATCATTTTTACCAGTTTACATTCTGCAGCACTATCAAGTTAGTACCAGTATGTGATATGTGTTTTATGAATTTTGATGGTGAAAATAAAATCAGGGATAACTGGGAAGATGGAAATCCAGGCTCTTGGGGAGCCAGTCCACAGTACCAGGTCAGGAGTTTTAGCCAACTTGAGAATAGTCTGCTGCAACTGCAATTTATCTGAGGAGGAATCATACTGATCTTTCATTGTCTTTTTCTGTCTTTTTAATCTTTTCAGCCAGGAAGCCCTCCTTCGCGGCCATATGAAGCTCCAACTCCGGGTGCAGGTTGGGCTAGCACTCCCGGTGGCAATTATAGTGAGGCCGGGACACCACGGGACATTTCTGCCTATGGTAGCACCACCTCTTACTTGCCTCTTGAAATCAATAGTATATCTGCCGTTTTTATTTTTATGCTAATATTCATTCTATTTTGGGGATGGGGGCTATGTTGCAGCCAATGCTCCAAGCCCATATTTACCATCAACACCTGGTGGACAGCCTATGACACCAAATTCAGCATCTTATCTTCCTGGCACCCCTGGTGGACAGCCTATGACTCCAGGAACTGGTGGTCTGGACATGATGTCCCCAGTTTTAGGTATGCTTTTGTATTTTGTTAATCTGACAGTCAGTGTTAGTATGTTCAATTTCTTGTTTTTGCAGCATGTCTTTATGGTTACATTTATATCATCACATTGCAAATAACAAAGTTATCAAATGTGGATTGCGGCATGTCGCGGCCAACCCTGAAAAACGCTTTAGTGGGTTGCGGTTGCGGAAATAGCGAAATAGATATATGATAGAAATAATGACAAAAAGAAATATTTTTTAAAGGTAGAGATAGCAGAAGTGATAGAGAGACTAAAAAACCCTTAAATATTTTTCGGTTAACGCATTTAAGTTTAGGACAAAATTGAAATTTTGCCTTATGACAGCAATATGGCCGAAATGCAATAGCAATGACCGCTATTGCGATCCGGTGCGGCGCGGTGCTATTGCGGCGCAATTAACTAATATGTGATGTACCTAATTCTCTTCATCTATGATAGCAATTAACTTATGACAAGCATGGTATCTGAAATGGATTAGGGCTAGTGGTAGGCTTACTAGAGATGTATCTCATTGATTGATGTTGTTGATATTATATACCTATTATGGTGCATTTAACACAAAGATGATTAGTACTCCGCACATAGTATTTGGTTTGCCACTTGAATATTTCTGTCTCATTTGAGTACAGGCAACCAGTCAAACATGGTCAAGAATGTAGTGGTTATTATAGTCCGAACACCATCCTATTAATATTTACAAATCTATTAGGATGGTTTTACTTCATAAATTTAGTAAGATGGTTTTACTTTATTAATTTGCAAATCTGAGGATAGTTATAGTTCAAACACCGTATCTCTTGTCTCATATGCAACTATGATGTTGCAAAAGCCCCCCAAAAGACATCCTCATAAGCACAATTGTTTACCTCCATTTCTGTCTAAAGTAGTCTAAGATTTTGTGCTGTTAAGTTGAAGTTTACCAAGCATTTCCTGCATCTATTACTTGGATTACTTATTTGATTGGATCATCAGCAAAGATTTAAAATGGCATTGTGTTTTTTAGTAAGTTTGCTAATTTGGTGTTTTTTTGTTGTAGGTGGGGACCACGAAGGGCCATGGTTTATGCCAGACATATTAGTTAATGTACACAGGCCAGGAGAGGAATCTGTTGGAGTTATAAGAGAGGCTCTTCCGGTACGTTGACCTAGAAGCTTTCTTACATTATGCATGTTTGGTGCTTCAGATTTGTATGCTGGGGATCTTCAAGTCGGGACAAATTATGCCATACTTTTTAATTGGGAATTGTTGGCTTGTTCTTTTTCTTTTTGATCCTTTGTCCTTTTTTTTTTTTTGGGGTGTGGGGAACTGTAGTTATATGCTCTATTTACATTGATTCTGCATGTAGTGTCTTTTCTCATAACTAGCCATTGATATTATTGACATTGGCATTTTTGTTTCTCCAGGATGGCTCTTTCAAGGTAGCTCTTGGTTCCAGTGGGAATGGGGAGACGATAACAGCACTTCCTACTGAAATGGAGGCTGTGGTACCAAGAAAATCAGATAAGATAAAGATTATGGGTGGGGCATTGCGTGGTGCCACGGGTAAATTGATTGGTGTCGATGGCACCGATGGTATTGTAAAGGTAGATGATACATTGGATGTGAAGATCTTAGACTTGGTTATTTTGGCAAAATTAGCTCAACCATGATAAGCTTCTTGTAGGGAAATTACTTATGCATAATTTTATTCTCATCTGTTGCGAGCTCGTTTTCCTCTTTATCGGTCTTTGATATACGTCTCCTGCACCTTTGCCCGCCCAACTTGTTAATTGTAGTTGAATGAGTAAGTTCCAACCATAGATGAATTTTTGCATACACATCCGAAAGAGAGAAAGGAATAAAGAGGGTGGATGTAATTCAAGAACGTAACATAGAAAAGCATCCTTTTGCCTTTAGTGCTGGGTAGGAGCAGCATAGCGCATACGAAGTACCACCTCAATCATTGCTTTCCTTAGAATAAGGTGACCGAAAGAACAGGGATAAAAATCTTTAGGTATCATTATCGAGTATCGATGTATCAATGGTCTTTGAAAATTAAGTTGGAAACTTTGAGAAAATAATGTAGCTCCAGCCAGGGACTCGCGAGGTCTTTTCATTTAAGTTTATGTTAGTTTAATAATGATAAAAAGATTATGAATTATATTTTGATGTTTTTATAATTTCTTTTAAAACATAGTTTTGTGTGTTACTTATAACTTCAGATTTATAATTTGTGTATATGAAGATCTTAATGTTTTACATTAAGGTAAAAAATTTCCGCAAAATGTTTTGAAATTTGTTTAATAAATATTGACTTATATTTATCATAAATGCGCCCTCTTCTCTTGATATTGTCTTTTCATTAATTAGGTCTTTTCATTTATTTCCGCAAAAATAAAACCCTAATCATAATATTCCTTTAATAGTTGTTCAACTAACATAAAGTTAGACTAGCTCATATTAATGTCTAATACTAATTGTAACATTCCGCATACATCCAGTTTGTTATCTCTTTCGTGACAAAACCTAAGTGTTTTCAAGTCTTATGCAAAAGTGGGTATTTCCAAACTTTGGCAACAATGGTGCTCGGCCAAGAGGAAAGAAAGAACACGATGAAGATCATGGAAAAAGAGAAAGGCTAAGTGTTTAAGTCACTTAAACAAAGTTTGACTTTGGTCAAACTTTTCAACATGATTAACTACTCAAATACCCTTCTTGTTAAATCCTTTCAATCCAATAACTTAAAACCTCCAGCATGTGTTTTAAACTCTTACAATTCATGAAATCATACTTCACTACATCATTTTTAAGTTTAAGGTAATTTTTGCAAAATTATATTTTTACCCCAAAACTTTCACTATTTATACTTTTGTTCCGAAAAATGAATTAATTTGCATAATTGAATTCTTCATCTAATTATCTTATTTTACTCCCTAATTAATTCCCAATCACTCAATTTAATCTTCTTGTCAGAGAGATATAAATGATACAAAATAATTAAATAAGTCTCACCTAATACTTTAAGATTTTGGGTTAAAATGATTTTTATCATGGTATTAAAGCTGGAGTGTCATGAGTTGATTCTCATTGCCCACACTATCAGGTAGAATTAAGAAAAGCACAAGGTAAACCAAAAAATGGGTCTATGCAACACAAGGTAGACAAAAAAAATGGGTCTATGTGTTTGAAGCCCAAATGGCTCTTGTGAGAGAGTGTGTTAAAGAGATGCAAAAGATACAAAGTAATTTAATCTTATATAATCCTTAAGGTTTTAAGTTGAAATGACGCTTATGTGTGTTAAGAGATACAAAATAATTAATATATCTTCACCCAATACCTTAAAATTTTTGGTTGAAGTGACGCTTATCATGGTATTAGAGTTAGAATGATCAGGAGATCATGAGTTTGATCTTCACCACCCCCACTTTCAGGTGAAATTAAAAAAAACACAAGATAAACCAAAAAATGGGTCTATGCAGCATAAGGTAGACCAAAAAAAAGGTTGTGTCACATCCACGTTTCAAGCTCAGAGAGATCTTGTTCGAGGGGATGTGTTAGAGAGTTACAAAGGATACAAAATAATTAATTAAGTCTCACCTAATACCTTAAGGTGTTGGGTTGAAATAGTTCTTATCACTTTTAGGTTATTACAATGGCCGGGATGGTGGCAATGTTGGCGACCTATGTTGCACCGACACAGACACGAGACACGACACTACATGATAGGCTAACACGTTAATTTTAAAAAATGTCATATTTTGACACATTGGACACACTTTCATATTAAATAATATTTTTAATATATATATAATATAATTTATATTTAATACATATAACAGCCCATAATAAGTCATATAACCAATAAAATATTCAAATTTCAAAATAAATATAAACAAAAATAATTTTTTGTACCTTGTTAATTTTTCATATCAAATTTCATAACAAAAAAAATTAATTTTTAAATTAATTTTCATATTTAGTTAATAAAATAAAATTTAGACATTAAAAAAAAAGTGTCGGATGCGTGTCGGAGTGTTGACCGCATGTCGGAAAAGCGTGTCAAAATGTGTCAGAATGTTAATCACGTGTCCCAAAATATTGACCACGTGTCAGAACGTGTCGATGTCCGATACGCATCTTTCAAAAAAAATTTGCGTGTCCTTGCTATATAGTTGGTGACCATAGTACTGATAATATAATTGGTTGAGGTTAATATAAATTTAGATTTTAAAAAAAATATTTAACTTTTAATTTCTTTTTTTTAATAAGTTGAAAATTTTATTTTATTTTATTAAAAAGACAGTAGGATTTTGAATTTTTCTCGTGACTTCGATTTTTTAAAAGCTAACACCCAAATACATTTTTATAGCGAATTTTTGTTTTTTAAAAAAAGCTCTTGAAAAAAAATAAAAACTCATCCAAACTTTCTCACAATATCAATTTGGAAATGCATTTCATAAATGCATTCGGAGACGTGATCTTCACCCATCTTCACCGTTCAATTGACCATGAAATTCTTTTCTAATTAAAATGAAGATGTTATGGTCAAAATAGAAAATGCTGAAGCACGCAGCATGTGGAGAACGTAAATGACAAAAAGTATAAGAATTTCCTATTTATAGTAGGGGCAGATTATGTTAGAAATTTTGCTTTTAAAGGTGGGCAATATTAATTAATTAGTTTTCTTGTTTTAAAATTAATCGGGTTAATGGATATTCCAATTGTATTATTTTGATAAGCCCGTTGTGATTATGTTGAGTTGAGCTTTTGGCATCTGTTGGTATTGGGCATAGTTGGGCAGCACAGTCTAAGCATTAATGTTTGATTGAGTTTCTGTAATGGGTAGACCCATTATTAGACACACTATTGATTAGGGTTTTGCTAGGTCCTCTCTCGCCTATTTATGAGATTAAGTCCCATGAGCCGTTATGCTCATCGCTAAAGGATACCATTTTCAGAATAGGTCATAGAGAGGAAGATCTGTAGTTATCCATTAAGGTACGCACAATTCCAAATTAGATTTCATATAATTTGGTGTTTTATAATCATATACGTGATCCAGGATTAAAATAAATCTTACATTTGGTATCAGAACTTTGTGTGTATGATTATAGAATCCATGTTCTTGATGGGAATTAAGAAATTGGGATTTTCTTTTTTTTATAAAGGTTGTTTGTAAATTATCGGGTAATCCGTTCTTTTTAGTTAAATTGTATTTCCATCTATTTTTTTTTTTTTTTTTTGATAACATTAAGGGGCGAAGCCCCAAACAAAAACAAACTAACAACCAGAAACAAAAAATAACTATCCAGGGTCTATATCCCTACAAGAGGAGATTCTCTGAAGATCGTGATCAAATAACTGAGCAAGGTGAAACGGCATAACTCTATGACTCCAGAATCCAGTATCTTTGTGAAGAGCAGACTTGGCTAACCAATCAGCACAGGAATTAGCTTCTCTTGGAATATGAGAAAGCGTTACCTCCCAATCTTGACCGATGAGTGCTTGTATCTTAGCCACTATACGAGGCTGACAAGTTGCATTGCAATCAGCAAGCAAAGAGAATACTTCAGAAGCATCTCCTTCTAGTTTCACCTTCTTAAATCCCAGTTGCCAAACCAATTCCAGACCTTTTAGAGTTCCCCAAAGCTCCGCCATTAAAGGAGTGCAAGCACCAATATGATACTCAAAGCCTCCCAACCAAGAGCCATCATCAGATCTGATAATTCCACCACAAGCAGCCACCTCAATTCCATCTATGTTTTCATTCTGAACGTGAATGAAAGAGGTAATTGGACGTTTGTATGTGTTGATGATGGAAACCCAATTGAGATTATTTATCGTGGACCGGTACCATCATTTTTTAGGTGGTCCTTTAGTGTAAATAGAAGGGTAAAATTGAAAAAGAAAAAAAATAAGAGATAAAAAAAAGAAAAAATTAATAAGATAAGAGAGAGCACCAAAAGATTCAATGATCCTAGAACATATTAAATATTTCCAAGCCAATGACACATAATTACAATTTTTATTGGAATTGGTGTGGATTGCTTTTATTTCAATGTTGATGATTGGTTATTCACATCTCGATTTCTGTGAATTTTTATTCAACCTTTGTGGTCTTTGGATTTATGAGTTTTTTGAACATTCCACATTGTTTACCTTGTTTGTGTATCTAAATTTTATTTCTACCATCGAATGCCAACAAGGTCAAATATAAAGCTTTTATGCAAGAATCGTAGGATCTAAAAAGATGCCTGCACCAAGGGAGCATGGAGCGGTTCATAACTGGTTTTGGCAAAATTCAAACTGAACCGGTTTGAAATGGTTTGGTTTTCAAACCAAACCAGTTTTTTTTTATAAAAAAACCGGTTTTTATTATCAAAACCAGTTTGAAACCGGTTTATGGTTCATAACCGGTTTTGATTTAAAACCGGTTTTAATTCAAAACTGGTTTTAAATCAAAACCGGTTATGAACCATAAACCGGTTATCAAGTTCAAAACCAGTTTTCTAACAAATTCAAAATTGATTTTTGATGGATTGTGCTATTTTTATAAGTAGTCGTTTGTTTCTCCTGGTTATAGGTAGTTGACCAACTATTTCTGGCAAGAATCTTCATTGTTTCGGAACTCTAAGGACAAAATGATTCTTATAGAAATTGTTTCACGTTATTTTTATGGAAAACATTTCCATCAAAAAAAACTTTGTCGAATTTTTTTAC